CGAATCAGTTGTGAACACATGCATCGTGACTGGTCTGAAGACCAGCAGCTTAGACAATAACCAGTTTGTGTAACTTTCTGAGGTTTATTCACAGAAAGAGATTCCTGTCAAAAAAAAAAAAAAAAAAACCTTGGTATTTTATTCTATGTTGCATGGCTTTGTGTTTTGTGTTTATGATGTAAAGCACTTTGAAATGCCTTGTAGCTGAAATGTGCTATACAAATAAAATTTGATTGATTGATTGATTGATTGATTGATTGATTGATTGATTGATTGATTGATTGATTGATTGATTGATTGACAATATTCCCTGTCAAGAGAATATTGATGGTTGGCCCCACCTAAAGGTGAAGATTCGCACTATCCAAGCAGAGGTTGGATTTCTTATTGGAGCAAATGTTTCCAAAGTTATGGAACCATTGCAAGTGATTAACAGTGTGGACAAGGGACCATATGCAGTAAAGACAATCTTGGGCTGGACAGTGAATGGACTGCTTAGAGGCAAAATGGACCCGACGAGGGACACATTGACAGGAATTACTGCAAATCGAATCTCTGTGGCTAAACTAGAAGAACTCTGGCAACTGCAGTTCAAGCAGGACTTTCCCGATGCAGGACAAAAGGAAGCCACAGAGATGTCCAAGAATGATCATCAGTTTATGAGAATGGTGTCTCAATCTGTGAAATTGGAAGATGGTCATTATAGCATTTGCCTCCCTGTGAAGGAGACGTCTGTAAAGATGCTAAACAACAGAGCAGTTGCAGAACAACGTGCACTGAATTTATGCAAGAGGTTTTCAAAGGATATTGAATTTATGGAAAGTATGTTGGATTTATCAATGACCTGCTCAAGAAGAGAGGTTTTACAGTGAAACTTGACAGCAATACCTGTGGACCAGAGGGAAGAACATGGGATCTGCCTCATCATGGGGCTAGACATCCAACCAAGCAGAAACTGCGAGTTGTCTTCGACTGTGGAGCAAGCTTTCAAGGAACAGCATTGAACCAACAACTATTGGAGGGGCCGGACCTTACAAGCTCTCTATTGGAGGTTCATGTGAGATTCCGTCAAGAACCTGTGGCAGTCATGGCGGATGTTGAGGCCACGTTCCACCAAGTTAGAGTCCACAGTGAAAACACAGATTTCCTTAGGTTCCTCTGGTGGCCTGACCTGCATCTGGTTGAACACAAGATGTTAGTGCACATTTTTGGTGCAATATCATCACCAAATGTTGCTATCTACGCACTTCAAAAGTGTGCAACAGATTTTGCAGATGAGTTTACGGAGGAAACGGTCAAAACAGTTCAGAAAAATGTTTATGTTGATGACTGTCTGAAGTCAGTTTCTGATGAAGACAAAGCCATCACACTATGTTCTGAGTTAAGACACATGTTGGAAAAAGGAGAATTTCCACTGACTAAATGGTCAAGTAACAGCAGAAAGGTGCTCAGTTCAATTCCAGAAGAGGAAAGGGCACAAGGATTTAAAAATCTGGACTTAGATGAAGACCATCTTACAATGGAAAGGACATTGGGCATCCATTGGTGCACTGAATTAGATCAGTTCAGGTTCAAGATCAACCCCAAAGATCGACCACACACCAGGAGAGGTCTGCTTTCCTTGGTCAGCTCCATCTTTGACTCTTTGGGATTTCTCGCTCCAGTGATACTTCCAGCAAAAAGAACTCTATAGAATTTATGTCGGCAGAAGTGTAGCTGGGATGAAGATCTACCAGATGACATTGTAAAAAGTTGGAAAAGTTGGATTTCAAGTCTGTCTCTGCTCAAGAAGTTTGGAATCAACCGATGTGTTAGGTCAAAGCAGTTTGGTGTGTCAGTCTTCGCACAGCTTCATCACTTTGCTGATGTAAGTGAAGATGCCTATGGAACAGCAAGTTACCTGCTGCTGCACTCTGAAACTGGCGAAACTCAATGCACATTGATCATGGCCAAGACCAGGGTTGCACCTTTAAAGTCACCAACCATCCCAAGAATGGAATTGACGGCTGCCACAGTTGCAACAAAGATGGACACACTGCTACGAAAGGAGCTGGATCTGGAGCTTGCTAAATAGGTCTTTTGGACTGACAGCACGGCTGTGCTAAAGTACCTCAGGAGTGAAGGCACTAGGTTCAAGACTTTTGTCTCCAATAGGATCTCCGCCATTCTGGAACACTCTGAAACATCACAGTGGAGACACATCAACACTAATCTGAATCCAGCTCATCATGTTTCAAGAGGACAAACTGTGGAAGAATTTTTGAAAAACGATGTTTGGCAATCTGGACCCAGTTTCTTGCATGGCTCACATGACCAATGGCCCAAAAATCCAGACCCTGGAATGCCAGATTCTGATGACAGAGAGATCAAAAGAATGACTCAAGTGCACATCATTCATGTTCAAGAATCAAAGGATGTCCTGGAGCCGATGATGAGCTATTACTCTTCTTGGACAAAGCTGAAAAGTGCTGTAGCTTGGTTCTTAAAACTGAAAGAGTTGCTGAAGGAACTTAACCCTCCTGTTGTCCTCGGCTTATGTCGACCGAGGACAAGCCCTTAAAAAATATGTTTTTCAATTGCAGCTGCATACAGAAACTTTAATCTAACAGTCCTGCATCAGAACTATGGTGTGCACAACTCAGGGGGAAGTTTAGGCTCAAGCAATCCAAATGTGAACTTTACAAAAGAAATAAAAATAACCAAACCCAGGCCTCAGGTCAGACTGACCGGAAGACTAAGGAAATCACAGCTGGACAGGCAAACAGTATGGAATGGCATCACTGATCTCCGTAAAACTGATATCTTTTCAAATTTCCCCCCCCTCCTGTTGCCCTCGGGTTGACATGACCCGAGGACAAGCCCTTATAAAACATTTTTTTAATTGCAACTGCATACAGAAACTTGAAATCTAACAGTCCTGAATCAGACCTACAGTGTTCACAACTCAGATGGAATTTTCTGCTGCAGCAATTCAAATGTGAACTTGACGAAAAAAATAAGAACAACCTCCTCTTGTCTTCGGGTCAAAATGACCCGAAGACAAGAGGAGGGTTAAAGAGGAAGGAACTAAAAGCTTCAGGAGATGAAAACAAGATGAACAAGTTCAAGAAGATTTTCAAAGGAAAGAATCTGACATGTGACAACTTGGTTGAAGCAGAAACAGAAATCATTAAACACTGTCAAAAGCAAAATTTTGAAGAAGATTTGGCAAAGCTGCAAGAACATCGGAGAGTAAAGGAAAGCATTTCACTTTTTAAGCTAAATCCAGTGCTAGAAGAGGATTTATGAGAGTTGGTGAAAGGTTGCACCGAACAGCAATGCCTCACAGCTCCAGACAGCAAGTCATCCTACCGAAGGAGTCACATGTCACAGAGCTTGTGCTGAGACACATTCACGACGCTACGGCTCATGCAGGAAGGAATCACATGTTGGCTCAGCTGCAGCAAAGATTTTGGATCCAGCGGAGCCTTCAGAAGATTTCTATCCAAATGCACAATCTGCAAAAGATTACATGGAACCACTGGCAAACAACTTATGGCAGATCTACCTACCTGCAGGTTCCTGCCAGACGATCCTCCATTTACCAGAGTTGGCGTTGATTATTTCAGCCCACTTCTGGTAAAAAGGGGTAGAAGTCAAGTAAAGAGATATGGTGTTATCTTCACCTGTCTCGCTTTAAGAGTTGTGCATCTTGAGATCGCCTCTTCACTTGACACTGATGCATGTCTGAATGCAATCAGAAGATTCATTGCCAGAAGAGGACAAGTGAGAGAGATGTATTCAGATTATGGAACCAACTTCAAGTCAGCTGATGCTGAGATGAGAAAAGCAATTAAGGCCTGGAATACAAGCCAGATTGAAAACCATTTGCAACAGGATGGAGTTCAGTGGCATTTCAATCCGGCTACTGGTTCACACCACGGAGGAAGCTGGGAGGAAAAATTGTGAACATCACAGTCAAAGAGCAGCTTTTGGATGAAGACGGTCTGCACACCTTGCTTTGTGAAGCAGAAGCAATCATGAACAGCAGGCCCATTACAAAGGCTTCATCAGACCTTGATGCACTGACCCCTAATCATCTGTTGTTGCTAAAGGTCAAACCTGAGTTACCACCAGGAGTTTTTCAGAAGGACGATCAGCACACAAACCGCCGTTGGAGACGGGTGCAATACCTCGCAGATATCTTCTGGAAACGCTGGGGCAGGGAATACCTCTCCAAGTTCCAAGAACGTCAGCTGTGGTCGTCCCCTAAAAGAAATTTCCGTGTTGGAGCCGTCGTTCTGATCATGGATGACACCTCTCCAGAAACTCCTGGCCACTGGAAGAATTGTAGAGACATTTCCAGACAGAAATGGCTTTGTTTGACAGGTGAAAGTATAGACTAAGACTAACAAGCTTTGTCGCCCAATAACAAAACTGTGTCTTCTGCAGGGATCAGAAGACGCCCGATAAAGGATCTAAAGTCAAGGTCATTCTAAGGTCATTCATGAGACGACAGACTATGGACTTGATTTGTTTATTTTGGAAAGATGCAATGTAATTTTGGCTTTTCTTGTTCATGTTTAAACTCTTATTTTTGTAATTGTTTCAAGAATATTGGTAACAATTAGGGGCCGGAAATGTAGAAGCCTAAATTCAATTTCTTGGGACATCTTGTGGATTTGCATATCCAATTGCAGTTGAAAATTTGGGGTGTGGCTAAAGACGGGGAGTTGGGCTGCTAGAGTGGAGCCACACAGTTTCTGATATTTTTCTCTCTTTCTTTTTTACTCTTTATTAGTGTGGAATGTAACATTTTGTACTGTTTTTATTTCTAAACTAAACAGTTTAATGTATCAAGAGGATTCAGTCTGTTTTTCTTTTTCTTTTTTTTTTTGACAAGTGAGATGAAGGAGAAAGACGGAGAGCGTCAAGCTTATGGCTTCATTAATTAGGAACCTATAGATTGTATTTTAATGCTGATTATTAAATCAGGTTGAGCTTCCAGAAATGTTTCCTTAGTTTCCTGATGTCCTTTTAGGCTTCAGTGAGTTTCTTCAGGTTGTTACTGAGGGATTTCCTTTCTCCTCTCTGTTGGAGCTTTTCCTGTGTTTGGAGAAATGAGTTGTGCTGCAGCAGCACCAACTGTCCTTCCTACATCCACTGCAGTTTGCAATCCAGATGTTGGACTGTTCCTGTCTCAGTGGAGGACAATGTGTGTCTGAGAGACATGTAATGTCCATGTTTGCTGCTGAAAGAGACTGATGGTCTGACCCCCCTCCTCCTTTCAGGGTGGAGCCTGCTGGAGGCCGATTCTTGACTCCAGGTCCATGGAGACTAAAGATATGTAAGTGTGTTTTTCATCTGATTCATGACAACAAAGCAGCTCACATTCAACCATCTTCAAACTTTCACATCACTCATTCAGGAGTCAAAGTGTCAATAAATGATCAATAACTGCAGCTGGATTGTGTTTGTTCTCTCCATCAGATTCCTGTCAACTCACCATCGACACAAACACAGTGAACAGAGAGCTCAAACTGTCTGAAGACAACAGGAAGGTGACATGTGAAGCGCGTCAGTCATATCCTGATCATCCAGACAGATTTGATTTCTGGAATCAGCTGCTGTGTAGAAACTGGTCTGACTGGTCGCTGTTACTGGGAGGTCGAGTGGAGAGGAAAATTTATATATCAGTGAGTTACAGAAGAATAAGGAGGAAAGGAAACAGTACAGACTGTGTGTTTGGATGTAATTATCATTCCTGGAGTCTGAGATGCTCTGATCGTTATGGTTTCTCTGTCTGGCACAATAACATAGAAACTCGTCTCTCCTCCTCCTCTGTCTCTAACAGAGTAGCAGTGTATGTGGACTGTCCTGCTGGCATTCTGTCCTTCTACAGAGTCTCCTCTGACTCACTGATCCCCTCCACACCTTCAACACCACATTCACTGAACCTCTGATTCCTGGATTTGGAGTCTGTTATTTTGGTTCTTCAGTGTTTCTGAGCTGATTTGAGTCTAAGGAATCTAAAGTTTTTCATCCTGCTAGAAAATCTCACTGATTAAAAGATAGTTCAGTCTCTTTATGTCTGTTTCATTCAGAAATATATTTTTATGGATCCAATCTGTGTCTTGGTTAAACTTTTCTACACAACCCTGGGATTATTCCAGGAATATTCCAGGATTATTCCAGGATTATTCCAGGATTATAACTGGATCAACATGTTTTATCTTTTTCCAGTCAAAAATTCACAATGAATCTCAGGATGTTTTTTTTTTCTCTCTTGATTTTTTTCCCTTTCATTTATCATCAGATTCTTTGAATTTACTGCAGTTTTTCTCAATTACTGAATATTTTTTGTTTCTGTTATCTCCTATATTTTTAAATTCATCTTGGATTCAAATGTTATTTTTTGTATATTTACTGCAGTTGTACTTCATGTGTTTTATTGAACAATAAACATATTTTATTCATTTGCTGCTCATCCTGGTCTGTTCCTGTTTAAATGTCAGTAGATTATTTTTAAATTTCAACTCTGACTTGTAATTTACATTTAAACATTCCCATATTGAAACATTTTAAAATAAATTTTTATTTTTTTCTTTCTTTCTTAAAAATGTTTTCTATGTTTCATAATTTTCAATATAATCTCAACAATTTCCCCCTTTTTGAAGTATTTTCTATATGGAAATACATCAATCAAAGTCCACTACTGCAAATAAAAATTCAGATGGAACAGATTCATCATTGTACCTTAAAACAAATCCTTAGTATTCAATGCTAAGTTTTCTTTCTCCATTTCACTGCTCCAGGTATCTTTTATGCATGATAGTTTATTTTTCTACATCCAACACTTTAGTTTCGCTACTATTGTTACTGTTTTTATATTTGATCAATTAACCGAGTGTCTTCAAAGAATTGCTACCTATTATAACGTTTTGTCAAATTTCACAAGGTAGAACATTTCCTTTAATCCCCAAAAGATGTTTCTAGTTGGTTCTTCTCCAAAATACTGTTCTCACTTTTAATGAAAATTAGCCTTTCCAAAATTAAACCAAAATCTCAAATTCCAATTTCCAAAAATGTGTCAATTTAACGTCCATTAATCAATTAATCCTGGATTTAAAATTTCTAAGCCTCAGTCAGAAACCAGGTTACTTTATCCACACGTTCTTTTCTTTTCAAATCAAAGTAATTAGTTACTTTATTTTCTAATATCAAATGATTAATGTGATCACTTTCTCAACTTCTGTGTACAATTTGTTTGCTATGTTCATTTTATTTCTGATTTTATTCTAATCACACAAAGTCAATCTATGTAATCACAAACAAACAATAACACAACAAACAAAACATAAAACATTTAGTCTCGTCGTGGTCAGTCACAGTCAGTCTATTATCTACATTTTTCTTTCATTCAAATTTGTTCAAAAGTATATATTGAAACTTCAAATATTTTCCAAATGTTTTAGCATTTTTTGATGTTTTCCTGTTTAATTTAGTCTTCAATATTGTAATTACCATGTGCACATTCTAAAAAGATCACTAACTTTATTAGGGCCTGACAACAATTAGTAATTTCCTGCTGTTGAAACATGTTGTCAGTTTCAATAAAATATAGATTCATTTCCTTTAGTTTAGAATGATCTATTCCATTTTAGATGCATCAAATACTTAAATACCACTGTCCTATAATTTTCAACAATTTAAGATCTCAACAAATTCCTTCATTAAGGAGATTCCTTAAATTTCAACTTACTTCCATAACTTAATAGTTTAAAGACCTCTTAATTTATTTATTTTATTCTCAGGATTGTTCTAATAAATTTGTTGTTGTTGATGTTTATCTTTATTAATTTCTTTAATATTTGTTAAAGATCACTGCCCTTTCTTAAAAGAAAACTTTCACAACAAACGTATCATTTATCTTTTAGGAAGATTTAAACCTTCAAGATGACTCTATATTTTTTCCAAAACACTTCACATTATAGTTTTAAAGTTCATCACATCATCTTACTCATTAATAATTTTTTGATTCGCAGAATTTTATGATGTTTTAACTCCCTTGCAAAACATAAATGTTATAGATTCACTTCTCAACTTTCGTGATCTTTTGTTGTTAATATTCAGGGATCACTAGAACAACTTTTCAGAATTTCTCCATTGTAGAATCATTAAAAACATCTATTAATGCGTTCTTTGTTTATTTGATAATTCTTATATGAACAGATTAGCAAGCAAACAGTCTTGGCTGTGATCACAATGTGCATAAAATATATTATCCTTAATATATTTTATATACTTTTTCCTTGTTTCTGTATAGTTCTTAGGTTCCTTTTAGCTATCAGCTTTATTGCTGCATTTGTCTTTTCTCACCATCTTGCAACCTCCCCACAGGAGATTCATAACCAGCACATTCCTAAGTTATTCTGATCTTATCACTGGAACTAACAAAACAGCCTTTTTCTCATCAAAGCATAAATTGAGACATTAAGCTAGATAATGTCCTCTCAAAAGATCACAGTACCAAATTAGTATTTTCTTTACAGTTGTACATTAATATAAAAGTATATTTATTTTTTACAAACTGTCCTAAAGAATTTTAACTAATGTTTGACAAGGTATGTTTACCAATTTTTTAGACCCAGCGTTTTGATGTTAAAAATTTACATTTAACATTTCCATATTATTTCATTAATCACAATTAATTTGCTTGCTTAAAAAATCCACTCTAAAAGAAAATGGTTCTTTGAACTTAGATTGGCCATAAAACAACTTTGCACCTCCTTCACAAACTTTCCCTCACCTTGTGAAGAAAGTATTTCATGGCAGCAGGAGAAATCTGCTGTTTCATTCAGATTTTAGCATTTATATCTCAAATTCATCTTTTAACTTAAATTGTTTGGGATACTTCTGTTTACATTCTTTAACCTTTTATTACGCACTGATGTTTTATCATCAGGACTTGTTCTCACCTTTATATGACAGCTTAAGATGTTGAACTGCTGTTAGATCTGCTATTCAAACTATTTTCTTTCTGTTGAACCAGCTGCAAGATCAGGGGAATAAGGCACAGCTACAACTTCTGCCTATTGTAGTTCCTATTGTTCCTATTGCCTGTTGTTCTCCTGAACAGATCTGTTGCTTTGTCCCGCTTACTTTATTTTCAACATTATCTCCTGTTGATTTTGTATTTTTATGTTTATCCATAACACTGAGATCATAACATTAACTTTCTGTCAATCATTTGTGTCCCAAATATTTCATCTTTCATCTGCACATTTGGAGTTTTGTTGTTGCTAACTTTGTAGTTTCTTTAGCTAAATATTTCAAACAAGGCTAAAATTTCCTTTTATTGGGGTCTATTTATTAAGTTCTAGTTCATAATTTTTTTCTCATCCTGAAATTGTTTTGAAACACAGAGTTATCCTAAACTCTAAATGCAGCATTTCTCCAGTCTGCAATCAATGCTGAATCAGAGCTGAGTGGGGTTTATTTGGGCAATCTAATGAATAATCACAGAACAGTTATCCTGCTCTTTTGAGGACATCTGTTTTCCTCCTGACTTTTCTATTTAGTTTCATTTTTGTTTATTATATACCTAATTTATAATCACTTGTAATCATGTCACTACATTTTGATATCTTCAATTTTTTCAAATACTGTTTTTCCCATTAATCAATTTTATTTCAAACTTTAATACCCTTCTGACATCAAATCCTGTAAATATCAGCAAACTTTCCTGTATTTAATCAATTTCTATTTATCAAGAGAGTTACCTCTAGTTTATCCTGTACTTTAATTATCAATAAGTCCTGTAGATCTAATAATATTGATCCATTTTAATAGAGTTTTGTTCACTGTTAAAAGAATGTTATTTGTTAAGGGCTTCTCTCTCTGAAGTTCTGCTCTTTTTATTATTTTATAATCAATTCATAAAATGTCCCTATTGTAATTTTTGTTTTTTATTTTATTCCTCCTTTTGACCTCATACAAAGTCCATCATGATGTTTCTCCTCATATTCTGGAGGTGAGGGCAACTCAGGGTATAATCTAGCACTCTGTTCAACATTCTTTTTAGATTTTTTCTCTCCAATCTCTCATTTTTGTGCTACTTCTAACCAAAATTTTACATCACACCCTTCTTTGTATATATATATTTTTTTAATTTGAATTTGTTTTTTGTTTTATTTCTTGCAGTAGAATTAATTTCTGTATGTTCAGACTGCCATCAAAATGATACTTTGTTATCCATTTATCTAAGTTTTATTTTACACGGATCCTGATCTTTAATGAACTTCCAGTCGTTTGATTTTAGACTGTCTACTGGATTAGTTTTACTGATCTCTTTCCCCATTTAAAAAAATTTTTTAAATAAAATTTAGACCAGTTTCAGACTGATCCTTTGGACCTAGTCTGGCGAGGAGTAGCTGTATATTTTGGAGGTGCTCTTTTGATAGGTTGCAAAGGCACAGAGGGTGTTGCTGCTGCTGCTGCTGCCCTCTCTTGCATATCTCCTGCTTGCTCAATTAATCCCTGATAGGGTCCTGGCATAAATTCATCATCTTCCCTTCTATAAAACAACACTTTCTTTTCTTTTTCTTCCTCTCTTTCTTTCTCTGCCTCTTGTTCTTTCTTTTTCTGCTCTTTTTCCCCTTCTTCTCTTATTTGCCATTTTCATCCACACTCCTGTTTGTTCATAACCTTCTTTATTCATCAGTTTTTCTTTGTCCTTACATTTTTCTCTTATTTTCCTTCTCAATTCTGCAATGTTTGCAGTGCTTAAATTACCATTAAAGCCATATTTGTGTACCCAGTATGCCAGTGGTTCAACTGCTCCTGGTTCTTGTTTCTCAACTACCTTCCAATCTTTACAAATTCAATCTTCTAGTTTTATTTCTTTTTTCCATTTTTAACTATGTTTTGGTCCAGTGTGGGGTAACACCTGGTGTGTTCTAACACTGGAATATTTTCAGCAAGATGGTGATAAAACTTCCTGTCTGTGGTAAAGTTCACTTCAACTCTTTTAAGTGGAACTTTCTTGCCTACATGCAGCCACAGAGGGTCACCATTTACTTCCTTGCTGTTTTGGTATGAAATCAAGTATCCAGTGATACTTAAATTTCCTTTCACTCTCACATACACACTCTGTTTTTTGTCACAGAATTAAAGCGCCTGTTTCGCTGGACTCCGCCGTCCATTTAAACACGGGTATTAGTCGGGCCCCGTTCTCACAACAGGTGGGGTTTGTAAGATCTCAAACCACGTGAGGTTGCAAAATACCGAAGCAGGTGAAGTTTGCCAGTCTTTGTCCCAGTAGGGTTTGTACAAGACCTCCAGCTAGGTAAGGTTTACAAAGCATTATTTTCTTTTTTTTTTTTTGATTTATTTTTTTTATTTTTTTTATCACTCTTTTATTTCTTCACTCTTTTCTTTCTTCAAGCAGGGAACTCCGTCATCCCACGGACTTTAA